GGGGGGGGGGGGGGCAGTCCTAAAATCGGAGAAAGTCAAAAAGTGTTCTCTAAACTGAAGTTTTCTCCGAGTCAGAATTTTATAAAATACTTCTCCAAAATCGGAGAAAATCGTCTACTCATTTTTGTCCAAAATTGGATTTTTCCGGACTCATAGAAATATATTCAACACTATTGTATAAATTCGCAGAAAATTCAAGTTTGGAGAACAGTTTTGGGCGATTTTCTCCGATTTTGGAGAAATATATTATACACGTTTCTCCAAAATCGAAGAAAATCCAAGTTTGAAGGAAACTATTAAAAATTTTTCTCCGATGTTGGAGAAATTTGTGTAATATATTTCTCGAAAATCGGAGAAAATCGCCTAAAAATGATCTCCACACTTGAATTTTCTCCGATTTTTGGAGAAATTTGTGTGATATATTTCTCTAAAATCGGAAAAAATTGCCTAAAAATGCCCATTAAACTTGAATTTTCTCCGAATTGAGAGAAAACTATCAAGTATATTTCTCCAAAATCGGAGAATATTGCTTTGTAAATTCTCCAAAATCGGAGAAATTATCGTAGTAAATTCCCCAAAATCGGAGAAAGTACCAGCCAAAATTTTCTGGAGCAGGAGGGGGGTGACCCCCCTATCCCCCCCCCGGTCGCGCCGCCCCTGGAAACGACTACATTTTCTGACAGAGCAAAGTGTTCTCTACAACATGATATAGTCAGCCTTGAGAAATAGACAGGTTCTACTTTAATCAGTCTGGTTGACCGTTAGCCGGACAAGCCCTTATATATCTTTTTATTTTAGATCATCAATTTTTTTCGAGCAGTGATTTTCCGTTATCTGGTCTTTAGTGTCTCTACACAATGTACACATCCTCTCATTGACATTTAGCAATTGGTTTTTAGAAATCAACTACATTCGCGTACGACCAAAGCGATTAGTCAATGAAGTGCACATGTCTATAGAAAAACTACATATCCATTGTAAAAATATTATTTCTTCAGTTAATATTGCAATAAAGGATGGATCAAAAGTTTGTAGACAAATATTTGACCATTTGTCACGTATGCAAATGCATTCAGTGGTGCATTAGAATCAGAATATTGTGCTTTTTGAGAATATATGTTTAGAGTTTTTCGGTAACTTTTGACCATTGAGCTATGAGTGAATCTTAAAAAACAAAAACTAGAAAATTTTTTTCAGGAAAAACCTCAAATGGAACGTGTTCTAGACATGTCACAAAATTTTATCGAATATATTGAAAGACACAGACATTAATTCTCTACAAAGCGGTAAGTTTTTTTTACAAACTGTTGAGATGTACTAAAGACTTTTATTAAGCCTATCGCCAGAACATAGTTATTTTTCAGATTTGCACATTCTCAGCACAAAATGACCCTCCATCACAACTCTACCATTTTTTAGCGGTCTCATTGAGACTTTTCATTCCTGAGTCATTATCATCTTCGAGTGTTATATATGTACAGAACTTTTTTGATATCTGCAGAAAAGAGACTTGTACTTAGAAAAATAAGATTTGTGTCTCTCCAGAAAATTTTTTGAGTTCAGTCAAGATTTACTTATAGTTCAATAGTCAAACGTTACAAAAAAGTTCGAAGTATATATTCCGAAAAAGTAAGAAAATCTGATTCTGATACATTATTTCTGTCTTTTTTAATGCACTTAAATACATGAAAATATAATCAAATATTCTCTGTCAAAATCTTCGGCTAATCTTATATATATATATATATAGTTTGCTGTGTACACAATACTTTAGTTCTCATCCGGACCAACTATATTCTTAACTAATTGGTCTGGTTGACAGTGGTGAACAGCACACAGTGAGGATGAGGGCATTAAGGGATATGAGATTGTCTTCAGGTTGTAACAGTATTTAGACATTATTGAAAAATAATTCAGTGAAATAATTGCTGAACAAAGTTGGTGATAAAAAAAATTCGCCTTTTTCAATGTTTTTTATACATAAAAATAAAACATTTGGATTATGTAATCAAGTCAACAATTCCTTAGCATTCAATTAAAAAGGAATGTATGAAATTTATTAAATAAAAATCATGTATATGACAAATTTTCACATATGAAAGAGAAATAAATCTAGATTGAATAATATGAAACTACTCTTTGATTTTCTACATATATATAATTGTTGCTAGCATCAAAATACACAATTAATTTTGTTCATGTGACAAATGATAATATGTCAAGCTTCATAAATCTTCATCGAATATAATATGTCTAAAAAAATAAGATTCGTTTATAAATAATTTTCAACAATTAATAAAAGAAAAAAGTTCTTACTTTAATGCAGGTATTAATTTCGGTGCTCGATACATAAGTGAATGCCCATAACCAGCATGATGAAATGAAATCATATCAATTGTAAAATGAAGTAATTGTTTCTTATTTCTATTACCATCACGAATAGTTAAACCAGCTTGTAATAATTGTTTACTATGTTCATAAGGTATTGTATAATCATCATCAGCATGTAAAAGTACACATGGACAATTTAAACTTGATAAATGACTACGTGTTTGAAATGCAAGTTTACTTATAAGTAAAGCTTTTTCAGTTAGACCATAATACCATGGTTGCCAACGAAAAAACTATAAATGAAAAAAAATAAATTGAATATACTTATTTCAGAAAACAAAACAAATCAATTTACTAATGCAAGATAATGTGTTTGTAAAGCTTGATGAATATTTATAAATGGTGCTTCCATAACAATACCAGCAAGACTTTTACCTAAAATAACTAAATAAAAAAAATTAAAGAAAATCATATTCATACTTTCATCATCGGATAATCTTGCTGCTAATTGACAAGCAACAGCTGAACCAAGTGATTGACCCCATATATAAATTTTTCTTTGACCATTACTCATGTCATGTAACCAATCATAAACATAACGAGCATCTCTGATTAAACCTTCTTCTGTTGGTTCACCAGTTGAATCACCATAACCACGATAATCAAATGTAAAAACATCATATTTTAATTCTGTACGTAATTTTTCACACATTCCACGACGATTAAACATTGAACTACAAAAAAAACCAAGAATTAAACATTTTTGTTTTTCCCTAAGGAAACCCAAATTTATTTATTAAGTACCGATCAAAAGCATTGCCATGAAAATAAATAAGTATTGGTATAGTTGATGGTTGTGATACAAAATGTTTTTGAAAATATTCTTCATCTGTAGTATATGACTGATCTTGAACAAGTGGAGAACGATAATGCCTAACAAAATAAAAGTTAATAACAAATAATACATAAACAATGAAATAACCGATATCAGTAACAACGTAAAAGACCGTGAAGAAACAAATAAATTGACTCTCATTCAAAAAAAAAGAACTTTCTTATATGATTCTCTGATTAATGGGTGACGAATAACAAAAAGAACAAAATGCTTTTCTCTTTTTAGGGCACTTTCCTAAACATTAAATGATTTTGTAGTATAGTTGAATTTTAGTGTAACTTCGATGAAAAATTTTTGTTTTTTGACCATGACAGTCAGATGTATGAGTAGGTGCTCATCTGTTCAATTTTGCGCCAACAGAAAAAGTTATTTGAAAAACACATATAGTTCGTTATCGAAGACATCTAAAACAAAGTCTCCAATATCTTGGAAAATGTGATAACAAAAGAAAAACATTTTGTCCCGTTTATAATGCACCATCCGCTAAAAGTTGAATATTTCTTATTCATTATGTCGATTTATTTAATTCTTTTATTAGTCTACAACATAATATTGAAAGATTTCACTAAATAAATCATAAACAGACTTCTTAATTTTAGAGTTTTTTTGTATAGAAATTTTCAGATGGCTGCTATCTATATGAAACAGAATAGAGGAAAGTATTCATGCTGTAAAGTTTCGATGACCATCTGAACTATTGAGTTTTTTCAGTTGAAAGCAATCTATTTCAGCTGAATTGTGACAAACATTACCAAGGGAACATCACAAACTGTTTATCAAAGACATCTCATTATAATAAATGAACTATTTCCTTATTGCATTTCTGGAAGATTAAGTAAAAGAACGGTGAGGAAATGTTTCCTAAAATAGATCGAATAAAGTAATCTCTTTGTGATTGGCAACAATAGCAGTTACATCGTGTTTACATAGTTTAATCCCGCAAACAACTTTGATTTATCAAAATCAAGGAACCAGTATTTTATCTAGATTTTCTCTTCCGGACAGATAATTTAAAATTTTGAGAAGGCAAGCATTTATTTTTGAGATTACAGACACATTGTATGCGATATAATAACGATAGATTTCAGGAGCGCCAATCCAATCTTGGGAGGAGTACTCAGTCTTCGGCCTCCATCCTAATACATTTCAAGAAACACAATCTGTTTGATTCTATTCATATCATGCTTCCTATTAAGTTCAATAACTTACCAAACACCAATACGAACTGTAGGTTCAACATCCAAATAAAAATTAAACACACGATCGAGACCAAATTTTTCCGTTTGAGTAAAATTAGTACCTGACTTCACTATATAGAAAACAGAAATGAAGTGTTTAGCAAAATTAATATATCTCACAAATGTTCAAAAACACAACGTGTTTTATGATCGTTGGATGAACAATAAGAACGATTGGTAAAGCCAATGAAGCTAATATATATAAACCCGCAGATATCAGACTTATTTTAATGAATATTGTGCTATGCGAAATTTGAAAAAAAATCAAAAATATTTTTCAAAATTTGTTTTAATACACTAACCTAAATTTCGACCAACGACGAGTAACATTTGATTCAGTCATTTTTTTAAAAAATCTACAAAAAAAAGCAAAGATATGTTTACTGTTTTAGTCATTTACAAAGACTACATGACTATTTAGGTTTGTAAAAAAAAAAAAAAACAAAATGAGAGAGATAAGGAGATTTTTCGAACATATGACTTATCTAGCACATCAAATTCAAGAAGTTTCGTTGAGCTTCTTTTTAAGACGAAGATAAACGTTTAAGAAATGCAATGTCACTAAAACAAAAAAAAACAAGACTAGTAGTCTCAATCAAAAGGTAATTTTTTTGCATTTACCTAACTAATTCTTGAAATTTAGGATATGAATAAATATGATTATGTCCACAATTTGCTGAACGTGGAACAGTTATGAGATGAACAGAAGGTAAGTTTTTATCACGATGGGTTTTAACATAATCTTTAATCTAAACAAACAAACGACATACTTTCTCTAAAAAGAAAATCTTTTAATAAAGTTACTAATTGAGCATGATGATAAGGTATAATAGCATCATCTTCTGCATGAATAATTACAATTGGTAACGGAAGAAATGAAATACTAAAGATGAAAAAAAAAAAAAAACAAATTTCATCAATATGAATGAATATTTTTTATATATACATTTCATTATTTGGAAAATTGATTTTAACAGCTGCTAAAGAATCAAGTGCAGCTTGCATAAAATATGGATTGATTTTTAATATCTAAATGATAAATTAATGCTAACAAAGGGATCTCTACAAGTATCAAATCATTTTTCGATCAAGATGATAATCATTTGCTAAGTACTAGAATAGTTTGATTTCCCGAGTATTCGTTCTCGAGATATCGAGATTTTACTGAGTTTTTCAACAAAAAGTTGTGACCTCTCCTAAATCACGTGAGAAATCAACTTTCAACGTCAAACTTTGTAAGAACAAAATTTTTAATGATATTAGTTGGTAAGTATATAAACACAATTAGCTTTTACACATGAGAGAATATTGCATATTGAATATATGAGAATAGAAGATATTAGAAAAACTAAAACATATTCAACGAATTAATCTTATTGAGAACTGCGTTCGTACAAATTTTACAGTTGGAGCTCAGCTTTTCAGGTGATTTGAGGGAGGTTGCAACCTTTTGTTGAAAAACCCATTAACATTTCGATATCTCGAGTACAAAGTGTGACAAAGCTAAACCATTTTAGACTTTTATATTACTCACTATTACTCATCAAATGAACAACGCCTCGATCGAAAATTAATTTGATACCTAGAGAGATTCTTCTTTAAATAGAGTAAGATTGAAACATACTCGTGTAACTGGATATGAAACCAAAGCTTGAATTGTATTATAAAATGGTGCTTCGAGTACAAGACCTGATGGTTTTTTTAAATCTGAAGTATTCAAAAAAGAAAAGGAAAGAAAATATTTAATTTCTAAGATAAAGGGTAATTTCTATACTAGGATGTTTTTGAAATAAATCATTCATTGTCCATAATGCAACACCAGTACCCATTGAATGGCCCCATAAAATTATTGGATTTTTAGGACAAATTTGACGAATTATATTAAATACATGCATTACATCATGAACAAAACCATGTATACTTGGTATGCCAGTTGAATCACCATAGCCACGATAATCAAGAGTGATAATATGATTACCAAAGGCACTCATAACTCGATAATGATTGGATCGATAATGTGTTGCTCTAAAACGAATTTGTAATTCTATTTTAAAATTTATTTCTATGTTCATTTACCTTGTACCATCTTGTCCATGTAAATATATTATTATAGGAAGATCATCAGATTTGACATATTGTTTCAGATGATCAGCAAGTGTTGATAAACTATGATCAATGGTGATAGTGGATGGCAAGATATACCTAAATAATAGAGAAATCATAATCCGAATTTACTCAAAGCTTCAGAATCTCAAAAAGCTCTTAGACCTGTTTATGAGCAAATTCAATATTAAAATTATTCTATGGTTGATTGATAAGTCAATTAAATGGACATTAAGTCATGTACTGGCATCACAACTGAAAATCAAGTCCTTTTCTTTCATAGTCTGATCCAGCCCGTAGTGGATCAGCAATGGTTCATGCTTGCTTGAAGTATGGACACACCAATTTATGGAAGATAATGTCAAAGATGACAATTTTATCTTATGAAGAACGAGGTTCTTGTGAATAGCCTACATCAACCATGATCAATTTTTCCCCAAATCGGAATAGAAAACAACGATTTCCGAGTTGGACGCAAATTCGTATTTCTTCGATTAAATCCAACTGATTTTAAGATCTGTGTTCTTTATTAGACAACAGTCTAAGAATGATTTCGAAAGAAAATGTTCAAAACTGATCATAATTGGCATGAAGAATCGTTAGAAGTTGGGTTATTCTCAATACTAGGTATGTGTTTTTGTAAGAAGAGATAAACTAGTTCCTGGAATTTCTAATCAGAGTTTTAGAATATTTTCAGTGTTGAGAATTACCGAATTCCTAGCGATTCTTCATGCATATTGTGATCAGTTTTGAACATTTTCTTTCGAAGCTACTCTTAGGTGTTGTCTAATAAAAAACACAGGTCTCAAAATTCTTTGGAATTGATTGAACAAAAACTAAAAACTGTGAATGTCGGGCAAACTCCAAAATTTTTCTTTCCGATTTCATGCATTTCAATCACAGCTTTGGATAAAGTCAAAAAAAGATTGATCATGATTGATATGAGCAATCTACATGAATCTCATTCTTAATAAGTGAAAAAAAAGGCCATCTTTGACAGCATGTTCTAGAAACTGGTGCATCCCTAGTCTGGAGCGGCATGCATTATAAGTATATTTCTTCTACAAAAAGGATTTCTAAACGATGGCAGTTAACAATCACTTCAATAATTTATCATAACATTGGGAAACAATTATTATGATAGTGATCACGAGTTTCATAAACGTTAGATAAGTCTAGTGATTGTAAAACAGCATGAAAAATAAGATGATTTTTTCTTATTAAACCAAAAATAGCAAGACGTATCTGTTGCTACTCAAACTTCATTAAAACAAAGAACATTCCTTAACTAGACCTTACAAGAATAAATTATTTATTGGTCTATTTTAAAGAATTACATAGATTATTATTATTTGCAGTTTACGCTATGTTTGGTTTATGCATGGATGAAGAGTATATAAAACATAGGAAATGTGCGTATAGTAAAGATTTCTAGCTATTATTATTTGCAAGATGTATATATTTTCCTTGAGAAATGGAGTTCAGTTTAGACCGGATGAGCCATGTTAAGGTCTAATTGTTATCGTACTTTCGAAAAGACACGAATTATAGATTTTAAAATACAAACTTCAAGTCAGTCCGAACTTAATCTTTATTTCCGAAATCATTTAATTGTCAATCGAGAAAGGTTTGACAAATATCAGGGCGTATTGCAAACAAACCCAGAAGCCAATTTTTTTTACGTTTATTCATTGAACATCATACACATGATTTCTCAATATCATTATATAAAATTTAACTTACCATATTCCAATTCTAACATTAGGTTCTGTTTGTTCATAAACATTAATAGCATTTAATCTGAATGCATCTGGTTTTGTCAAGTCAATCCATGGATAATATCGAGCTATTCAAACTAGAAAACATCAGAACCAAATAAGAATTATGATAATATTTACACCAAGTTTGAAAAAACATTTTTGTTAAAATTATATCGCCATATAATCGAAGAAAAACTGGACTTAATACAATTAATGATGTAATTACAATAATCATACTTACAACCCATCGTATGAAACTAAATATTAAATGAATATTAGACAACTTAAGATATAAGTATTTGTTTGTTTTCTTTTACATTTTTTTCAAAAAAGATAAGTTTGATTTTTTCTTATTTTGTTCTACAATCATCAATCTAGAACAAAAGACAAAGATTAATAAACTAAAATTGTTCGAAAAACACTTTTATTAATACTTTTGCTAAAATACATATATCAAAAAAAAAATATTTTTTTAAATTGCTTTTAATATGAGATTAGGTACGTCAAAAGTTTGATCATCACAGAGAACAATATCGTAAACATTTTTGTAAACTTCTAATTTTGCGGGGGTACTATGATTTAAATATCCAATTTTGAGTATATGTTTTAAATTTTTCATGCCACCAATCATTCCAACATCACCAAGAGTATCACCCAAAAGAATAACATTTGGACGATCAAGGATTGATTGATAATAAGGTGTATCATGAATTTCTTGTTCATTTTTATTAAACGTATGAATAAGTATTTTACTAAATGATATTGAATTTCCATTTGTATCAAATTGAATAAAATTTGAAACTACGTGTGATAATTCATGATTATGTTTAAATTCAGGAATTTCTTTTTGGAGAAAAATCTCAATAACATCACCTAAAATTCAACATTTATATCAAATAATTAATTATGAAGGATTTCTTTACCTAAACCAGCTGAAAAAATGAGAATCGGAGTATTACTACGTAATAAATCAGTAATGAATTTTTTTACACCTTGTTTTAATTCCAGTTTTGATTGATAAACTGCGCTATGTAGCATTGGCTTATCAAGAGTTGATGAAATAATAAGAGACTGAGCTTTATGCCACCATTCAATCATATGAGGAAGTTTTTCTTCTACACTGATAGATACATCATGTTCCATTGGCTGATATTTTGAACGTAATTGATCAGCTTGAGTACGAAGGAACGAACCATCGGGTAACTACATGAAATCAATTTCAAAATTAGTGTATTAATAATTCATTCTCAATAAGAATTTAGTTATCGATGTTTGTTAAAAGTAATTAATTTCTTTTTTTTTTAAATTCTTAGAATTTTTTTTCTACTGATCTCTATAGAGTATTTCTATTTTACGTTTCAGACGAACTAGTAAACTTCTCGATTTAATATAGTTGTACGCATTTGTTTAAAATAATCAAATATTTAATATATATGAGTGAGTTGCAACTTTTTGGTATAATTCATGCGAAAAACTGGAAGTCGTCCTAAGCACTTTTTAAGCAGTGCATTTTAGTACACTCTATGCCTATGCTAAACAGCAAATGTTTCCCAACACTTTACTATGTATGAGCTGAAATACGACTTACTTCATTGTAAATGTACCATAAAAACCGTTAATTTAATGAAGTGTCCTTTTACATTGCATCATATTTTGTAAAATTCTCCATAACAGAAAGAGATACAAAGCTGAATTTTAACTGATCATACAACTCTAAGAAATGTAATTTCAATAAAAATTTGATCAAAAACTAACTCGTCTTTCACGAGTTATTCGCAAAGTAATTTTCAAGAAGTCGTTCTACATAGTTTTAAAAAAAATGGTCGTTCTACATTTTACCGTATAATATGAATTTCTCAAGAACGATAAGAGATAGACGGTTGAGTTTTTTTTACTGTTTATATAGCTCTGAGAACTATATCCACGGTAAAAGTCTAAGCGAAAGCAACCGAGCCATTTAGGAGTTATTAACATCTAAATTCTCAAAAAGTCGTTCTACAAAGTGAGTTAAACTCGAATTATTAGGAAATAATCGATTTCGTTTACCGAAAAGGAAAGTCATTCAGAAGGATTTTTTTACCATTTTGTTCGCCTTTCAATTGTCTTTCTTTCGACTTTTACACAAGCAAAGCAACTTTAACGATAAGGTCGTTCTACATAAAAATTACAAAGTGTCTCTGTAACTAAGTATTGGTAGCGAATGGGTGTTAAAAGAAGAGGAGAGAAATACGAAAGATACATCATTTAACAGAGCATCTCAGACTGTACAAAACTGACTATTCGTTATATTTCTTCTCTTTTCTTTTATACTTAGAAAATATCCTTTTCTTAGCACGTCTGCATATAAAATAAGATATTTTCACAGCGTGAGACTTATAAGTCCCCGACGGTACGAGCGAGAGAGCTGAAATTTGGTATGGCAGTGGGGCACTCAGAGAGGAGTAACCCATAAAAAAATTGTCCAACTTGGTCAACGAGAACAAAAGTTATTACGCAAATACAGCTAAAATCCCAATCGTACCAAAAAGTTGCAATTCACTCATATATATTTAGCAAAAATTATAATACGAGTAAAAGACAATGGTTAACATGAAAGAGTGTCAATGTGATTTGTTTTGTACGTTTTTCTCCAGAACTGAGTTTCAAATATAAATATTTGACAACAAAGAATCAATATTGACTTTAATTTAAACATATTCTATTCAAGATATTTGCTCTACTAATCTTGATTATTTGATGATTTCCAGAAAATAATATTGAATCATGTTTATTACATATTTAATTACTATCGTGTCGAGATTATTAAAACTATTCATAAATGTTTTCTACATAACTAATATTCTCTATCGAAATCATGATATAGAGACGTCATGTACTCCCGTACATCATGCTTAACTGTACGTGTATAATAGAGTTTATCTTTATTCAATATTGGGGAATACGTCATCATAATGCTTGAAATCGATTCAGTTGCATGCAAAGTTTACAATAGTGATTGATTAGAACGAGTTGATTCATAATTAGTTCACACTTACAGAAGCTCAATGTTTATTACATTGGAGCAGAAGTATCTGCATGTGGATTGATGGAAATGAAAGAAACATAAGATATGCCAAAAGTGATGATTCCGATTCTATAGGGTTGTATAAAAAGCTCGAGCAAAATTTTTTTGTATGCATACTGATAGTCCAAACGGTGTTTTATATATTCTTTCCATATTTCATCATTCTATTGTTATATCTAAGGTCAGTTTCCACTTTCACATTCGCCAGTTGTAATATAAGAATCATCATTGACAAGACTATGGTCTTTGTTCAATATTTTCAGATGTTTTCTTGGCAATACATCTTGAAGATCGAACTTCATTGTCAATCTCATATCGATTTTCATTGAATCATTTCAATTATTTTTTCATTTATCTGCAGATTGAAGAGTAGTCGTCAAAAAAACGAAACATAGCTCTCCATGTAGAAATTTTCCTTAAATAGACAAAGTAATGCCCACTTCAGTATAGAAGTGAACATTTTTCTTTTCCATTTAAAAAAAAAAAGCTTGCATCGAATTTCTTTTTATTATGATACCAATTGAAGAATGATGACATATTGAAGAAATATAAAGTGCTGTTTGTGCTACTAATATATATATATAAAAGCTGTATTGAAGCTTTCTATAATCTTGTTAGCATCATTATTTTGATACATCCTAACTATTATATACATATACGTTGTGGTCAAAGTTAAAATTCAGTCGAATTTTTAAATTTGACTAGCTAAAATTAAAATTCTTTTTTTATGCAGAGAAAAAGGTAAAGAAAAACAAATAGTTTGAGCAGCGACAACTTATTTATTTTAAAAATATTGTTAACAAACATTATAAGAATGTGGATGCAATAGAGGCCTTGTAGGAGTGTCAATTTATATTTACTTTCAATTTAATTAATGCGTAGATTAATTTATCGGTAATATAAATTTAAAATAAATTTAAACTGATTTTTCGCATAACTTAAACTGGAAAATAAGTTTAATTATCATAATTTATATTTAAAATAAAGCTATATTTTTTTTTCGTAATTTACATTGAAAATAAATTTAATGTTTTTTTTCATAATTTAAATTTATCTTTAAATTTAAAGTATGAAAAAAATTTAATTTATTTTAAATCTGATTATCGATGATTTAAATTTATTTAAGTTAATAGGAAAATGACAATCCTAGGACCTTGCTGTTTTCACATCGATCTATGCCTATACCCACACCCTTCAAAACCAAGCATCTTCACCTACATCCATACGCTTTATTATCAAAATTTTAGCTTTTTCTTTTCATTAAAAAAAAAATTTTAATTTTGTCCAGTCAAAATTAAAATTTCAATTCTGACTGGGCACAATTAAGATTTTAAATTTGACTGGTCAAATTTTTATTTAACCACAACAGGTGTATATATATATACTTCTAATATTCGATTTAAACTCGTTGTGACATCATTGAAGTAATTTGCAGACTAAAAATGTTCTTAAATTCTTACTGTAACTCGATCGTCGCCTTCAACAACAGCAAATGTCGATGGTAAAGCAACCCCATTTTTTTCATACATAGTTAATGTAAAATCAAAATCAGCTACAATATGTAACATTTTTCGTCCATCATTTATTAATGAACGAATAGTTTGTTCAACATAAACTCGTTTATCATTATGTATATGAACATGTGAATTAGTCTGAAGAAGATTTTCAATAAAACTCATTTATCTAAAAAAAAAACAGATCAATAAAATTACAAAATTTTAAATTATTATTACGAAATTGTGTTTTTTTTTTTTCATTATCAAAACAAACCAATAAAAAGAAAAATATTAGAGCACCGGAAGAAGTTTTCATTATTACAAAGCTGTTGTTGTTATTGCATTATCATCATCATTGTTATTAACTTTATTTAATGATTTTTTCGATTCTAATACTGAAGTAAGTACTGCTCGATAATTTTCATAGCATTGAACACGAGTAAAATTTTCATCTCGATACAATTTTGTCATCATTGCATCAAATGATTCAAGTTCAGATAAACTAAATAAGTTCCATTGAAGAAGAATATCATTAGATGATGATGCTTGAGAATAAACATGTAAAAATGAAGGAATTGGTCGTTTTAATAATGGATTTGGTGGTACAATAGATTTTTTTGCTGATTCACGATTGTTTACAGTCAGACTAAGAGAAAATATGAAAAGATTTTACTTCTATTTTTTCTTAAATTTACTCTGATTGTCGTTGAAAATGTCTTTGTGGAAGTAAATTTTTTTCTTGTTTATTCAAATAATTTGAATCATTAGTATTTTCTTCTTCTTCATTAACTGTATCAGTTTTATTTATATGAGGTGTTAATCGATGATGTGTTTTCTCGATTGATCGACCTGCTTCTTCAACACTTTTTCTAATAAAAAAAAAATCAATTTAATTAGAAAAAAGGGATGGGTACATAGCAGATCAAATCAGCCTACTAGTATTTTTCTTGACCAATCTCATTGAATCCTATATAATAGGAAAGAATATATTGAGAATATCATTTTAGTGTAAAATCTATCACAGTAGCAGCACATGTTTTTTGTCATTATTCTATTAATTCATCCTATCACAAAGGACTCAATTTGAGAATTAGCAGACTAAACAAGACACTATTGCAATTATCAGTTTGATA